ATAAACTTGTATTCATATTTATCTGTAAATTCTTGAAGTAATTTTTTTTGGTACCAGGGATTGAACTTGGGACCTTGCGCTTTCGAGGCAGGCACTGGAACCACTGAGCTAAATCCCTGGCCCGTACTTCGTCTCTTAAAAAATAATAATAAACATTTCTTTCCAAATGGCAAATATCTAACACTTAGTCTCAGACACAGTCTAATTAAACTTACATTTGTAGTTCATGGAGCCAACATAAACTTTTTGCCATGTTTCTTCCATCATTAAAATGTGGTGTAGGGACTCCAAATAAGTTAAACCGATGGAAACTGGATGGGTTATACTTTCGGTTCTTTGCTTCTCCTGTGGCAGGAAGGAGACTTCTGAATTAAGCAACACAAATAACCTTTTCTTCCAAGAAGCACATCATGTTCTCTTTGGCGTTGAAAATAAGAGTGAGGCACAGAATGAAATCACAACAGTGCAGGGAATTGTGCAGATTTGGCTACAAAAGACAGCAGCATTCCGCACATGAGCTGGGAAACTGGTGGGGTGCTATACACAAGAGTTCCTTGTGTTCGTATTTGGAAAGCTGCATGTAGAGAAAGATTACACACACACACACACACACACACACACACACAAACTGTTAGTACTAATAAAAGAATTCAGCAAAGTTGCAGGATTCAAAATCATACACAAATCCACATTCAATGGAGCATTATGGTACACACCTATAATCTTAGCACTCAGGAGACTAAGCAGGAGGATCACAAGTTTGAGGCCAATGTGAGCTATTTCACAAGATCCTACCTCAACAAAATCTTGGCATGTAGATATAAAAATAATTACATATCTAATTAAAAAAATCAAGAAAATAATCCTGCCCAATGGGAAGCTGAAGTAGGAAGATCTTAATTTTGAGCCCAGCCTGGGCAACTTAGTGAAACCCTGTCTCAAAATAAAAAAGAACTAGGGATGTAGCTCAGTGCAAAGAGAGAAAAGAAAACAATCCCATTTAAAGAATATCAATCAATAAAATACCTATAAATAAATTGTGTGTTGCTCTTTTGAGATACAGTCTTTCTATGCTGGTTCAAACTCTTGGACTCAAGCAATCCTCCTATCTCATCATCTTCATCTTGAGTGGCTGGGAGTAGAGACACATACCACCACAACTGGCACTTCAGAATAAATTTAACATAGAAGGTAAAGACCTTTGTGCTGGCTTTTATCTGGATGTGCCCCCAAAGTCTCATAGGTGAGGCTTTTCAGAGTTGGCAGAATCTAAGCATGTATTATGGCTCGTGTCTAGATGTCCCTCCAAAGCGTTATGCAGTCACAGGTGGGGTTTTTCAGAGGTGACTGGACCTCAAGGGTGTGATGCTGGGATTAAGAGTGTGATGCTGGGATCAAGGGTGTGTAATTACTAAATTAGTCCCCTGATTGGTTTGGCAGAGTTCTGGGTGTGGAAAATGGGTAGGCCCTCCCTGGGTGTAAGTGCTTCCCACCCCAGGGGAGTGTAGCCTGGATAGAATATAAGGGACAGAAAGAGGGCTGCTGTTGCCATTGCTTGTTGTTTCTTCTCTGCTTGTCTGCCTTCTGCCCACCATGAACTGTTTCTCCTCTGTGATGCCCCTCTCCCGTGCCACCCTGCCTTGGAGCCAATTGACTATGAACTGAAACCTCTACAAACTGTTAGCTATAATGAACCTTCCCTGATTTAACTATAAGTGTCTGGTATTTTGTCCCACTAACAAGAAAATAACTAAGACAATCTTTATACTGAAAACTATAAAACACTGATGAAAGAATTGAAAAGGCACAAATAGAAAGATATTCTATGCTCATAGATTGAAAGAATCTATATTGTCAAATGTTCACCTACTCAAAGCAATAAATGGATCCAACTCAACTCTTATCAAAATCACAAGAGCATGTTTTGCAGAAAAAAAAATTTTTAAATTCATATAGAAGAGTCTAAAGTTGGATCCTGGGTACCAAAAAAAAAAAAAATCGTATAGAAGCATAAAAGAACCTTAAACAGCCAAAACAATCCTCAGAGAGAAAAAGTTAGAGGCATCACTTTCTGATTGAAAAGTCTGTCTCAGGGGCTAGAGGATAGAGTGATACACTCTTGACAGAGCACATACTGAGCATGTACAAAGCCCTGGGTTCAATCCCCAACACCAAAAAAGTACAAATATAATAAAATTACATTGCAAAGCTATAGAGATCAAAACAGTGTGATTCTGGTATAAAAAATACACACATAGACCAGCAGCATAGAATAGAGAACCTAGAAATAAATTCAAATAGATATATGGTTAACTAATTTTTGACAAGGGCACCAAGATTATACAAAATGGGCAAAGGATAGTCTTGACAATAAATGGTCCTGGAAAAACTAGATTTTCACCTGAAAAAAAAGAAAAGATGAAAAAGAAGCTGGACATTTTTTTTTGGTACCGGAGATCGAACTCAGACCTTGTGCTTGTGAGGCAGGCAGTGGCACCACTGAGCTAAATCCCCGGTCCAGAAGCTGGACTTTTATCATACACTATACATAAAAATCAACTCAATATTGATAAAAAACCTAATTCTAAGACCAGAGTAAAAAACTAAAATAAAATAAAATTTTAAAAAATGAAACCAGAGGAAAATCTTTCTTTGGCCTTAGCAATGATTTATCAGATATCACTCTAAAAACTCAGGCTACAGTCAGAGGTGGTACACCCCTATAATCCCAGCACTTGGGAGGCTGAGGCAGGATTGCTGCAAATCCAAGACCAGCCTGGGCTACATACTGAGTTTAAGGACGCCTGAATTACATAGCAAGACCCTGTTCTCAAAAGTCAAAGAAAAATATTTAGAAAGAATTCATACCCCTCAACAGCAAAAACACATATAGCTTAATTTAAAAAATAGGCAATAGACTTGAATATTTGGAAAGTAATTCAGGTAGTCATATGAGATGAAGACAGATATTTAAAATGTACATGTAGGCCCTACCACTGTTACAGAAATCCTGAAGACTGGGGGGACATACTGCAATGCTGTGGGATCCCAGCAGTACTTTCAACTATACTGACTAGATTTGAGAGGTTGGTGTTTGTTTTTAGGGGTTTTTTTTGTACCAGGAATTGAACTCAGAGCCTTGCACTTTCCAGGCAGGCATGGTGCCACTGAGCCAAATCCCCAGCCCAAGAGGTTGGCGTTTTGTGTTTGTTGTCACTGAGGTTTGGTGAGACAGTCAGAATATTGATTGTAACCTTCCCATTTCACTGTAATCATTTATCTCACCTTAGAAACATCCAAAGGATGATTGAAGCTGAGAACAAGAAAATCTTTTCTCTTTTTAAATCAAATGCTGAGCTGGGTGTGGTTCCAGCACTGGGGATGCTGAGGCAGGAGGATGCCTCAAATTCCAGGCCAGCCTGGGCTAGATAATAAGCTCAAGGCCTGAACTGCACTGGGAGACTCTGGCTCAAAAAACAACAAACAAAAAGGACTGAAACTAGAGAACAATGAATAGGCTCAGAAATGATGACTCATCCCTGTAATCACAGCACTCTGGTAGGCTGAAGCAGGAGGACTGCAAGTTTGAGCCCAACCTGGGCAGTTTAGAAATTCAGTGAGACCCTACTGTAAACAGCTAAGCTAGTTAGAAAATATTATAAGGCAGTTAGGCAGGGCCAGGCCCTCAGCATAGAAAACAATGGAAGCACATTTACTAAAACGTCAGGATTCAAAAAGGAAGAACTACCACACCCACATACTTCCCCTAGAGACAAATAGCAGTGATTGATATCAATCACCTTGGGTGCAGACCAAAACCTCCCTAGCCCATTCCTTCCAGGAAATCCTTGTTTGGTCTACACCCTTGCTATGTGACTGGCTTCCCCATGGGGTCACCATTTAATCAATATTACCTAAGTGACTACACTTGTAATCTTATTGGTTGATCATAGTTTTGTTCTACCTTGTGATTTCCCACTGGATCAGTATTACCTAAGCATGATACTTGTAATCTTATTAGTTGACTCTAACTTTATCTCACCTTGAACCCTCTCACCTCATGGCTTTCTGTATCAATCCCCCCCCCCCAGGAATCAAATTCAGGACCTTGCCTTACCAGGCATGCACCACACCACTGAGCTACAACCCTGGCCCTCTTTATCAATTTTTATGTGCTCCCCATCAAGGTTCCTATCAGGATTTATGACCTTATAATAATAATGTTACCATTCATTGATCACCAATTATCAGCCAGGCATTGAACTTTATATATAAACATTATGTCTTTACTCTCCTTCACAAATCTGAGGGTCCCATATCCACAGGCCACTTACCCACATAATAATCATTGTGAGAAACAACATAAAGATCATGTCCTTTGTCTCCTTCTTTAAATACTTCGTCAGAGGGTTTTGGTGGATTCACTACATCTCTGGCAGAGAATTCTGAAGGAAGAATCAATTAAATAAGCTGTAAGGTTTCTATTTGTAATGTATTTAAATTGACAAGAACAAGTGATAAATGCACAAGGTACATAGACATGCTACGAGATCCACAAGCCAACATAAATGAAGTTTTGTCAAGAAAGACAAGACATAATCTGGAGATATAAGACAAGATATGATCCACTTGACCTGGCTCACTACCTAAAATTCTGAATACCAGAACTCTGTGTCAGGCAACCATGTAGGTTGTCCTGAGCCATGGTCCAAGCAAAGTTAAATCCCCAACCCTAAGACTCTCTAGAAAATTTTGATTTTCGTTCTTTTCAACTTCTTAACATGATCTACACAAATGTGAATTTTACATGAGAAATCCTAATGTCCTGTGGGCTGGCCACAAATTTTGGCAGCTATAAAGTGAAACACAGACTCAGTCTTTTTAAATATGAATTTCCATCCCAAATGTCAATAGAATGTCAATAGAGGTACTTGGGAAATCACTAGAACCCGGGAGAGATTATTTTTCCTACTGGTCCAAATCCTAGATTCAATGTTTGTTTCAGAGCTGCTTTTCCCATGCGTGGCAGTCCCCAGTTTCATGTTTGGTGAATTATTTCGCTTCCATTGTTTTACAGAACAATTTTTAAATGTAACTCCATTTACTCTCTCAATCTTCCCTTTCAACCTAACAGCACAGATTAAGATGCTCTCCTTCGGTTCGCATGGTGGAGCACATCTGTAATCCCAGCACTCAGGAGACTGAGGCAGAAGGACCATGAGTTTGAGGCCAGCCAGTGTGGGATACATAAGGAGTTCAACACCTCACTACATAGTCTACGTTTACTACATTTCCCTTTCTTTCTCCTCCTCCCTTCTCTCTCTCTCTCTCTCTCTCTCTCTCTCTCTCTCTCTCTCTCTCTCTCTTTCTCTCACTCTCTCCATGTTACCCAAGCTGGCCTCAAACCTGCCACCTTCCTAAGCAGCTGGGACAGCAGGTGTCCATCACCACACTCAGCTCTATCTTTTATTCTCTGAATAATCATTTACATCACCCCAAACCATACAATGGTATGTATATTTAACTCAATTTTCCACAAAGACTTCTTTTACACTCCCCCCTAATTTTTTACTACCTCTGATGACTGCTGTCCCAAATGTTGTCTTGATGATGTCCAGTCCTTTAGGTAATCCTGGTGTTTGATCATGAGATTTTCCTAATGGTGTTCGTTGATTGCTGTAATAGATAGACTCTTTCTTATCTTTAATTTTCTGTTGAAATGTGGTAATAGGCTGTGGGTTTATCAATGTACTTGCCTAAAGAAATGATACAATGCACAAATGTAACAACAAAAAAAGTATAAATCTGATAACTAAAGCCTTAGTCAAAAGCTAGGGAGGAGAGAAAATACAGTATGATTAGGGAAATATATTTCATTATTACCATTGGCTTTCTTGCCTTCAAATGGACTATCAGAATTGACACTGTGAAGTACAAACAGCCTAAATGAGAATTTTCAAAGGAATTTAAAGGTTTCATTGGGACTAGAAAGCTTGAACAGAGCATGCAGGTTGACTCACATATTCAAGAAAAGTGGAAAGACGCCGTATGTACCAATTCTGTACAATGAATGCTACCATTACATATCACAGACACATACTAATAAAAAAGTAGGAATAACAAGACCAAAAATTGTAATTTCCATGTTCTCTCAAGATGTATAAATTAGGCTCTTGTGATTCTAGACTATCCATTCAATCAACAGCAAATAACTTACTGACCCCACCTCCACTCAACACCTAAGCTTTCTGCAGAGCTTCTGCACAGGAGTCACCGAGACTGTCCTCTTTATCTTCCAACAAAGCCTGAAAGCATTTCCATTTACTGGGAGAAAATGGAGTACAACGTGGTCTGAACCATTAATTTCTTCACACTCTCTTGAGTGCTGCTGGATTTTTTTCTTCTTTTTATTTTTTTTGGTACCAGGGATCAAACTGGGGACCTTTTACTTTCGAGGCAGTTGGCGGCACCACTGAACTTAAATCCCTAGCCCAACTTGGGTTTTTTCATTGCTCAAGATGAATGCTTTATCCCATGAAGAAGGTAATCATCATGGACTGTGAACATGTACTAATATAAATTTTAAAAGATTAATGCTTTCAGAGTACAGACGGAGGAAAGACTGGTAAAAAACATGGTACAGCCAGGCATGGTGGCATAAGCCTGTAATCCCAGCACTTGGGAGGCTAAGGCAGGAGGATCTCCATGAGTTCAAGACCAGCCTGAACTACACAGCTAAACCCCATCTCGACAAAAACAAAAAACAAACAAAAAAATATATGATGGAAAGGAGATTGGAATCATTTGTGCACTTTTATCCTGGTAAATTAATTATGTACAGTGGAGGAAAAAAAGAAATGAAGTTACCGGTATTGAAATTTTAGATCTTATCCCATGAGTCAAGTAGCGTGCAATTTTAGGATCATTGGCTTTGCCATAAAATATTCTCTCTGCTCCAGGAGGTGGATATCGGAAGTTGAAATACTTTTTTGCCTCCGGTGGAGTAATCAGCTGCAAAGAGTATGACAAAAAAATAGAATTATTAAATAATAACTGAACTTATCTACACCAATAAATGTATACACTTAATTTCATGTGTATCCTTAAGTGCATGAGGAATTACAGCTCCAAATTTCCTCTAAAATTTATTTGCTTATGAGAATAAACAATATATTTTAAAATTTTACTTAAAAATAACAAAGCAATTACAAACTGTGCTGCTATAAACATGGGTGCACATATATCACTGGTATGATGCTATGATGCTTTTAATTCTTTTGGAAGATGCCCAGCAGGGGAATAGCTGGGTCAAATGGGACCTCTAATCCTAGTTTTTTGAGGTATCTCCACATTTCCACAGTGGTTGCATCAGTCTACAATCCCTCTAACTGTGGAGAAGGGTTCCTTTTTCCCCACAGTCCAGCCAGGTTGATAGCAGCCATTCTTTCTGGAGTGAAGTGGAATCTCAGCATTGTTTTCATTTGGATCTCTCAAATGACCAGTGATGTTGAACATCTTTTCATGTATTTATTTGCTATTTCTACTTCTTTGTCTGAGAAATGTCTGTTCATTTCAGAAGCCCATTTTTGCATTGGGTCTTTAAATTTGGGAGGTCTGATTTTTTTAAGTTCTTTATATATTCTAGATATTAGTCCTTTGTTTGAGGAACAGCTGGTAAAAAATTTTTTCCCACATTGTGGGTTGTCTCTTCATGCTGTTGGTGGTTTCTCTTGCTGTGCAGAAGCTTTTTAATAAGATCCCAGGAAACAGCCCAATTGGCCATCAACTGGAGACTGGATAAAGAAAATGTGGTTTTTTTTATAAAAGGGAGTACTAATCAGCCATAAAGAATGAGAAACTAGAGACATTTATAGCTAAATGGATGCACATTGAGGCCATACTTTTAAGTGAAATAAATAGGACACACATGTGTAAATACC